TATTTGATGGGTAAGCATTTTTTATCGTCTCGAATCTAATGGAATTGATGGATATTTAATCGAATAACATATATAATTCATTTGGGATAGGAGTTGATGGTAAGAAAACTTATCCACTTTGGCAAATAAAAACTTAGGGGGTTCATATTCAAATATAATAGCACCACAAAACTTGCATGTTGGAACTTTCTCCAATTCATGTGTGTTATTCATAATAGGGGTAGAAGAAGAATCACCAAATATCATTTTTGTTATTGGTAATGTGAAATTTTTTTATAGATTGAAATAAAGCATGTGTTGTATTGTAAGTGAGATTATAACCCTAAAGAAAGTTGTGTCGAATATTATGTTCTTGATCTTCTATTTCAGCAATTAAACTCTTCTTTTTCCTTGTATTTGGATGTCCATTTTCTTTACCTTGTCCCCTTCTTTCATCTAATTGACGTGTAGATCTTCTTCTTTCATACTTACATTTTCGTGCACGTCTCTCCTCTGAAAATTTTGTTAGATTAGTTGTTATTCGTCATTTATGAATGTTAGCATTCTTTAATATCATAGTTTGTGTGTTTTATAAGTAAACCTTCTGTTAAAACCATAGCAACATAGTACTTGTTGTATATGTAGAAAAATATTTGCATTTTATAAAATATATTAAATAGACTGAAAATTAAAAATAAGGAAGACTTGAAATCAGTATGGTATGAATCATGGAATCAAGAGTATGTAATTGGTGAATAAGTATTTTGGAATACTTACATGTGGTGTTTATGATGGTTCAATTTAAATTTGTACTATGAATGGGTGTTTAGGCTCTAGCTTTACCTACCATGTGCTTACATATTCAATTGACTCAAGCTTAGAGAATGGATGAATAATCTTTATATAACATCCAAAGACTCAATCTTTTCAAATATAAAAACTTAAGTATCTAATCCCTGGATTGGCTTTGTTAGGAACAACTCCTTTAATGTCTTTGGTACTCCCTAGTTGAAATTAGTAGTCATAATAAAATGGAGCCATAATATTCTATTTAGCTTGCATGGATGAAAAGATGAGCAACACTCTTCATGCCCTACCTATAGAACACACGAGATTGATCCCTAGCTAAACCCATTTCTAAACCCATTCATCATATTAGTCAACCCTTTTTGTTGTGTTTTTTTTTAATCTGAAACAGGTACAGTACAATGTCTAATCCCAGTCATAGACATTAATGTGAAGATTGGAAGAGGATGTCAAACTACCACCTATCAATTGATAGGATTCAGCTATAGAAGTATTTGTATTAGTTACAAGTATATATAATTGACGGGATGTTCTTCTAAAGGCCTCTTTAAACACCACTTGTCTTGGCAGAAGTTCAATTTACCTGCATTCCCCAAGTTAAATTCTATTCCTTTTAAGAAATTATTGTATGTTTTCATAATATCCTTTCAAATTGAGTTTCCAGAGAAGGTGGAAGGCCCGAGTTCTTGGGATTCCACATTTTACAGCAATCAGTATCCTCCACCAAATCTCCTTATTAAGTCCTAATTTTGTTTTTTAATCAATGCCACATTGAAATCCTTGATCCTTTTAATGCCAAGGCCTCCTTCCTTAAGGAGGTACATTTGGTCCATATTGATACATGGATTATGTTCCCCTCTTGCTAGTGAAGAAATTGTAGTAGTTTCTGTTAAGCATTAAGTGATGGATATATGTGTACGAGTTGTCGCTCAAACAACTGAATCCTATTAAAGAATGACTAACCTACTTGATTGATTTGGAATCCAGCATACTTAAGGAAGATTGTGTGGAAGTTTTATTCCATAGACCATCACATGATGTTGGTACAAATTTGCATATTGAAAAGGGTGGATCTTTCTTTTCCTATATAGATTAGAAGAAGTGAGTCACTTTAATCATTTTGAAAGAAAAAGAGATGTTAAAATGTTGCTCTATTGAGCACAAGCGAACACGAGAATGTGGGTATGACTCTAAGAGCAATCATTTTGTGCAAAAATTTCCAAAGTTGAGGTCAATATTGAGTCCACTCCTTTCAAGAGCTTAGACCAGACCAAAATTTTTTAATCACCTTACGCTCGGTAATTTCCACCATGTAGGATAACACTTAGTACAGGCCAATATTTGGTGTAATAGTAAAATCTTAGGCTAGTGAGCATTTGTGAGAACACAGGTTCAAGTCTGAGGGCAGCCACTTTGTGCAGGAAAAATAATGTCAAAGGTTAGACTATATCCAGTAAGAAGTGACTTTTGCAATTTAAAAGGGTCTAAAAAAGCTAGGGGCAGGCCAAAATGAACATGGATTGAAGTAGTTAGAAATTATTTGAAGGTCCATAATTTAACATTGTCTATGACATTGAACAGAGCTCAATGGTGTAACAAGATTTGTGTAGTCAATTGCATATAGTTGGTACAATGCCTTGTTGAGTTGAGTTGAGTACTTGGGTTTTGTCAAGTTTTCTGATTGAAGACAAAAGTAAAGACCTTAGAAAAATCATGCTGGTCTCTTGACAATGAGAATCCCATCCTTCTTACTGAAAGAGGAGCTTTGAATTCTCAATTGGAAATTATTCAAATAAGGTTGAAGGAGCTAGATGAAAGGTATGCAAAATTAGAAGAGAAAGACAACACACTTAGTGATTTGGAAGAGTTACAGCTCTCCTTTGATATAGAAAAATAAGAACATCCAACCTTTACCCAAGCCAGTGAGACCAGGTGTGCTGATCTTGAAAAGCAAATCTTTCTACTGCAAGAATAAGGCCAGAGGAGGAGGAAGGAATTTGAAGAAGAACAAGAAAATTCCATGAAGGGTCAAGTTAAGGTCCTCATATTACTAAGGTGTTACAGACATGGAAGATAAATATATATTCTACTATATTTATGATACTTCACAAGCTGCTATTTATGGGGTTCAACATTGTCAAATTGGATTGCTGTGTTCCCACTTATTGGACATTTTACATATACATGTTTTTTAAGTGATTAGATTAAATTTAGGAAGGTTAAATGCAAAGTCCTGATCTGTTACAAGTTCAAGGGGTTAGTAGAGTTAGGGGCAAATCCAAAGGGACTTTGGAGAAATAATAAAAAATTATTAAAGCACCCATAGTTTAAAAATGGATATGACACTGAATAGAACAGAATGGTGAAATTGGATTCATGTAGCCAACCCCATGTGCTCTGGAGAAGGCTTAGTTGATGATGATGATGAGATGTAGAGTCATACTCCCCCACCCCCTCCTTATTAGAAAAAGAGTAATATCATGGAATTCTTTCTATCTCATTCTCGTGTCAATTTTGTCCACCTTGCTTGTAACTTTGCTTGGTATTCTCTATTTCTTCTCTAGACGCTATAGAAACTCAAGTTTATTTCTTTTCCCAAGATTTATTTAAGTCATAATCAATACTTTTTATTCTAAAACTACATTAGGACTGGTTAACGAACATAAGAAATCATATGCTCTGGAAAGAATATGCTCCAAATTTTCTCTTGCATTCCATGTGAATGTAGAATATATAACTCAATCTTCTTTCCATTATACCAACTCTCTTACATGGATTAAGACTTGCTGTAAAAGTTAGAGTAAAGGAATTAGAAGTGGAAGGAGATATTCAATTAGTCATATCTTCGTCCAAGAATATCAGATCAACTACATGGAAATACAAAATTATAGACATGCTTTTAGGGAGATCGACACATTGGCAAAGAGATTCAGTTCAATTCCACTTTTCAGTGGATAAGAAGGTCTACAAATGGAGTGGCAGATGTATTGGCAAAGCAAGGAGCTAGTAGAAATGGCTTGTTTTGGGATAAATTGTAATATGATGTACTTTGGCTTGTTTTGGGCTAAGTTGCTCATAGAGAAATAAAGTTTTAATCTTATTTATTTGTATTTGTTCATTCTTATTTCTAAAAGTGAGCAATTTCTTACCTAAAATACTTGTCAAGTGAGGGGAGGATGGGATATTGCTGTACTATACCTTGGCTGCATGTGTTCTCGGTTGACCTGATTAATGATAATTGTATAATAGGCATTGTCATTTCTTTAGGCTGTATTTGTTTCTTTGTAAAATTTTTTAGAATGAAATATTTCAAGTAGTATTTTTATTATCTCTTTTATAATAAAATCCTAGTTTTTTGCTCCTAATTTGTTTTCATGTAAATGGCAAGGAAAACAAAGTTTTATTTGTAAATTGTCAGAAAATAAATCTTAAAAATATCAACTTGAAAACTTTTCAATCCACTTTACATGGAAACAAGCATGGCCTTAAGAATTTTTCATGTATTGGTTCGATTAATATGATGGATGTATTGGCAACTGACTTTTAGAAGATATACATAGAGTACTTATTAACCATCTCCTTTATACCATCCATTTGAAGTTAATGTCTTCTCCCCCATCCTACAGGTACGTTCCAACCCTCGTTTTTTGTGCGAGTGTTTTTCATTTCAAGAAACCAGTGCTCTATGAAGAAAAAACTAAGCATACTTCAAGAAACCAGTGCTCAACCAAACACCGGTGCCGGAGAGGGAGGTGGAAGAGGGTAAAAAAAAGTCTCTGGTTTGAAATGAAAAACAAAACATCAAAGAGGGTTTCTCTGGTTTGAAATGAAAAAACTTAACACCCACACAAAAAACGAGGGTTAGAACTTACCTTGTGACTGGAGCCATCGCGGGTGCCGGAGATGAAGGCGGAGATCTGAGCTCGGGCAAAAACAGGGGTTAGAGTCCGATTTGAAGTTCAGAGGGCAGGAATATGGGAGAAGCTCGAACTTTGCCCTTTTGAGATCGTTTTGGGGCTAAACGGGCGGGGTTAACGTCCGTATCATTAGCCTCGCACGTGAGAACATCTCATCGCGTGCGATTGAACAGGTGTCAGTCGCACACAGAAACACGGTGGGGCGGAGATGCGAACTCCTCGATTTGAAATTGGATATTATCTACTACGCAAATATATTCCGCGGTAAATCCTTTATTTTATTTTGATTATCTGATGGCTGATGGCTGATGCTGTTCCAGAGGAGGAAAGACAAAAGAGTTGGAACTTACGCGTATTACGCGCCATGCGTAACTTAGGAGCGAAAGGGAATCGGTTAACGCTGTTATAAAAAGGAGCCAAGAACGAGAAAACAGAGATTTTTGGTTTCGACGAGGGAACAATGAGGGAGGAGGTTATAAGCTCTGGGGGAACTATGGATCCCTTACTGCTCGCTCGATCTTCCTCGCCGCCTCCGGTTACTGCTGCAAGGTATCGCCTTTTCCTTGGTTTGATTTTTTTTTGCCTTTCTTTTCTTTCGAGGAATCTCTCGGGTGTTTTCTTTTCTTGCGTCTTGATCTCTTTAGTGAACCACTAGGGCATGCTTAGTAGTTGAACAGATCAGCTTAGGTCGATATGTGTTGTTCGAAAACCCTAGAATTTGGTGAGGTCAGTTTGTTTTTGGTCTGAGAATAATTATTTTGTGGGATTTGCCCGAGTTATTGTTGATTTCTATAAGGGTTTCGGTTGTTTAGCTCAATGCTTGAGTTGAATTGTTTATTTAGGTTGAATTACAAGGGATTACAGCAATGGTGCATGATGTGTATGGATTTTTGTGGAGTCATTAATTACAGCTGGCGAATTTTAATGATACAGGATGAGCACGATTCTTTTTAACCGCAAATGGGACCTGTAAAAATGAATTTTTGTTTTATTTTTACACCGGAGAACAAATTGTGAATGGGGAAGCATTTTCGCGGAACTTTCTCCTATCCCTCCCTTTCTCCGCAATGTTTGTTGGTAGTGTTGAATTTAAGGTGGTCTTAGGTCAAGTTCGTGGTTTCAGGATTTTACCGGGAAACATTATGCTCTGAAGTAACTTTGAAGCCATGGCTTATTTTATACTGTAAACTATTGCAGTAGGGGTGGTTCGGAAAAGGAGAAGAAGAAGAAAAAAATACACAGCCAATTGTTCTGAGGTTGAGATTGCTTGTTTCTGTAGAAGGTTTTTTTTGGCCTGCACTTTCATTCCTTTTTCATCTGAAGATGGTGGATGTAATTGATCAGTTTCCTTAATTTGTTTTTTTTCCATAATTTTGTCTGAATTTGTCTTTCTGGGTTGGAGATGGTGTTCAATCACAGAGGGTGAACTTTGATGTTCCCTTTGTAGATTTTTTCTAATGAAATGTTGTCTGCCCATGGTTTTGTGCATATTTTCTTTGCCTTTATTTAAAACTCTTTGAAGATTTTTAATTAAAACAGTTTTATTTAAGAAATGATTCTCCAAGGCTTGGCCGATAGGGGGAGGCTGTCACTTCTACCAGAATGGGGACCTCTTCTTCATTGAAACAGAAGGCAAAGGGATAAATCTCTTTACGAAGTTCTTGGAGTCATGCCTAGTTGGGAAGTTTGAGGGGGAGGCTCCGGACCTAGCAGGTGCTGAAGCCTGGGTGAGGGAAGCCTGGAATGTCCTAGAGGAAGTCAAGGTGAAAAATTTTATCAGTAGTTTGTTCCCGTTCATAGTCCCCTCAGAGTCGGACTTGAGACACATCCTGACTCCTGAGTAGATCCCAGTGGCGGCTGGGGCATGTCCTTGCTCATCGATAGGTGGAGTGCCTGTGCTGGTTGTGCCACGGATGAGCCTCCGAGTCAGGGAACTGTGGACAGGAAAGTCGGGATTAAAATTTACAGCCTTCCGCTGATGCCCTGGAACCCAAAAATCATAACAATGATAGGCGACTTTTGTGGGGGTTTCCTAGCCACAGATGACTCGACAAAGGAATTAGCGACACTTGAGTGGATCAGGTTGTATGGAAAGGAGAGCTGCTAGGTTCAATTGACATTAAGGTAGGAGAAGTGGTGTATACAATGCACATCTGGCTGAAATTTGAATTTGCAGCTTGGCCGGCGGATCAGAGGTACATAGGGGCAAAAGAAATTTCGAGGGAGGAGCTATTGAGATCCTATGAAGGGGGGGAAATTGACCGGGCAGGGCTGTCGAAAATTGCAGGGGTGCTGGTGATGTTTGGCATGGCGATCGAATCCTCCAGGCAAGAGATCTGTGTCAGAACTTCCAGGGGTGACCCAGGGGAGCTGTTGGATAGGCCTGCCCATCAGGGGTACAGAACAGTGGAGATTTTGTAGACTCCTGACCTTGTGGCAGCCTATGAGCAGGAGGAATCCTTTCAAATTTTGAAGGAGGCAGAGCGGTTGAGTGACATGTCCCAAGAGAGGGTTGCTGAGTTGGATTTCCCAACGAATAGCCGAATAGGTAGGAGCTCCAAGCTTTAATTGGAGAGTGCTTAAGGGAATTGGACTTGAACGGGCTAACATAGGTGAATCGGACCAGGGAAAATCCAACCAAGTTTGTCAGGCGGTTCAAGGGAGGACCTAAACTGGGGTGAAGTAGGTCAAGTGCTGGCTCGAGTTATGGTGTCAGACACGCGCTCAAATGGAATTGTAAATCAGGATTCATGTATTTGACTAGTTTGGACAAGGCTTAGATGATGATGAAGATGCTGTATACTACCCATCCTCAATTTCCTCAATTAAGGATAGGGCTGCAAATGGATCGAATTGGATAAGACATTAGCAGATCCAAAATTGATTTATTTATATTCGATTGGAATTGGATCTAATCCATCAAATTTAGATCTGATTCAAATTGAATTCAGATTGCAATGAGATATTGAATGGTATAAATTAGACTAAAAATGATCAACATATTATATAATATTAATAAAATGAACTAAAAATTATTTGGATATTATATTTAATGAACAAAATTAATTAAAAGTTACATATGTGAAACTCGAACATATGGAGATTTAGTAAAATCACAACATTAAATCAAACTCACAACCTCAAAAATTTATTCACTAAAAGACAAAGCAATATGCTTTCGATTCAGCCAGTTCAGCTGTTATCAAATGATCCCTTGGTCCTTATTGATGAATGCTAAATGATTCCACTGCTGGGTGACCATTTAGCCCCAAGTAAGGGGGCTCTTGATTGCCTTTGAAGTGGTGAATTGAATACTTAGTGTCTTGTCTTTCAGTGAATAAGTTATTAAGTAGGTTCTTAGCTTCTTAATGGCAATAAGTCATTCAGTTCTTCTTCTACCACTTTATCTGTTGTTGAATGGCTCTAGCTGTTGTTAAGCACTATTTTAGTGGCTATCTAGATATTTGACAAACCATTGGCACATCTTTTTAATTTTACTTGTGCTGGATGTTTGTTTGGCCTTTGGCTTATCTCCTCCTAAGTGATGCTTTCTGGACCTCAAAACAATGTGGCAAGTGGCAACAACCCAGAAAAAGGTTTTTGCTTCCTGGTGCCATTTTATAACTATTATTGTTTTCCAAGTACTGTTATGTAGCTGTTAAAAATTAAAATGAACACTTAAAAGATGTCAGACCATTAACCATCTCTATAACAGCACATTGTTCTCAGATTGTTTATTTATTATTTTTTGATTAGCATCCGGTARGAAATGCCATTCTGCAACTGCATCCTCGTTTAGGTTTCCTGTGCCAGTGGTTGGATAATCTAAACAGCTTGATTGTAAAACCACTTTCTTTGGTGCACTAAAAATTGATTGGTCATTTTACCTGTGCCTCTCCATTTAGTTCAATAGATTAAATTGTTTTGGTTGTCATGTTGGCTGTGCTGGCTGTGCTTAGAACCGTATCTTTTTGTCCCAGGTGGGCCCAGCCCTTTGGCTTGCACAATCCCTGTTAACATGCGTCTCATATGAAGGTTTAGTTATGCTAGACTATCTCCTTATAATTGCCATTTTGATGCCTTTCTGAGAGGAGGGAATATCTGAGAGAAAAAATGTTTTGTAATCCAAAAACATAAGCTACCGACATGGCAACACCTTAGATTAGATAGAGAGGAAGACTGAATTTTTGACAACTATAGTAGCAGTATAACATCATTTCATAATTTTTGGAAGTCACTTTTCATGACTCTCAAATATGATCGAAAGTTTATCCTCCATATTTTTAGGAGCCATATTATGGGATTTACATGTTGACACTGTTAACCATGTCTTGCTCTTACAGACATTGTCTTTTATCAGTTCTGCAGGGGCATCTTCACCTGCTGTTCCAACAAATGCTGGCAGTATTGACTGGTTTGGCAATGGACAAGGTTCCAAAGGAGGTTCTCTGTCTTGTGTTGGTTCACAACCCCCACGGGCTTCCTTAAGCACAAGTGCTGGTGGTTCTGCTCTTGGATCATCACAACCTTCATGTAGACCATGGGAAAGAGGGGATTTACTTAGGCGGCTTGCTACATTCAAGCCTTCAAACTGGTTTGGAAAACCAAAGGTTTGGACCTGAGTTGCTTTTCCTTAAAGGATATATTTGAAGTATGGATATATATTGTTGCACTACACTCTTTTCTTCAAGTGAATAATAAATGCTGATAGTAGCCTTTGGATGCCCTATGTTCATTTTTTTTTGTCTTTTTACTTTTTTTCTTTAGGGTGGTGACTATCATAAAATGCATCAAAATCCTTTTGAATGCTGCTGTAAAGAAATTATTTTAGAAGTTTCTATATACTTTCTTTTATTGTAAAGATGACTTTATGCATGATTCGAAGTAGTGAGTGAAAAGGGCAGGCCTCCCATCGGTAGGCCAAAAACCATAGATAGGAATAGAGTAGAAAGAGATTCCTAATCCCAATGAAAGCCCACAACAAGTAGGCTCGAAGGGATAGGCTCCAAAATAGCTAGCTCCTATATACATCCTCACTAACAAATCTGTCTGCTAAAGAGCTAGCTGATCTCTGGATATAATGGAACAATATATCTCTAGCTGCCAAAGATCTAATCTCCATTATAAAATTCCTAAGAGCCAAGTATCTTCCATCTTCCCCTTTTCTAATCCAACCAATCACAATCTGTGACTCTCTGTCAACTTAAAAAGGACATTACCCAATGTTGGTGCCAGCTATCTGGGGTCTTGGAAGGGGTAGAATGGATACAGTCCTAATATTTGGCACTTTTTGCAGAAAGTTACTTCTCCCGGATATGAACTTGCATTCTCACACTTGCCAGCTTGATATTTTACCATTACACTATGTGATGGCTCCTATTCTAAGTCAACTTCCACTTGAGAATATCCCATAAAAATTGTGGCCTTTTAAGTAAGGACATAATCTTGGCTCTGAAAGAGTTCTTGTGTTGCTTCTAGATGGACACTTAAAATGGGTTTGTACCCGTGTCAATGTTTTAAAAGCGCAAGGGGCAATTTGTGCCTGAGGCGTAAGGCGCAAGGCGCATGCCTTTTTGAAGCAAGGTACAAAAATAAAAAATGCCAAAAAAATAAAAAATATTCAACATAATAGTAATAAAAATATAAAGTATAAACTTAAATTGGCTTCACCAAGGCTTTCTATCAAGACTGCTGGAATGTGGTAAGAGAAGACCTTTGTGCTGTGTTTAAGGAATTTGAAGTTAATAGCAAAGTAAGCCCTGGAGTTAATGCCACTTTCATAGATCTAATCCTTAAGAAGAAAGAAGCAAAAAATTCTAAAGATTTTAGGCTGATTAGTTTGGTGACTAGCATTTACAAAATCCTAGCTAAGGTGTTATCCTTGAGGATTAAAGTAGTGCTACCCTCCATCATTAGTCAAGCTCAGGGAGATTTCGTGCAAGGGAGGCAAATAACAGATCAGATTTTAATAGCGAATGAATGTGTGGAGGATATGAGAAAGTCCGGAAAGCAATGTTTTGTTTGTAAGCTGGATTTAGAAAAGGCCAATGATCTTGTGGATTGGAGCTTCTTATTAGAGGTCCTAGGGTGTTGTGGGTTTGGAGTTAGATGGTGTAATTGGATAAAGGGATGCATAAGTTCTTGCCAGTTTTCGGTCTTGGTTAATGGGGTAGTCAAGGATTTCTTCCCAACTTTTAGAGGGTTAAGGCAAGGTGACCCCCTTTCCCCTTTTCTTTTTCCCCTAGTTGCAAATGTTTTTAGTAGTTTGATCTCTAAGGTAGACAGGGAAGGTGTAGTGAGAGGTTGGAGTATCAAATATGAAAATAAACTTGGAAAAGAGCTGTGTGGTGGGAGTGAATCTGGATGAGAGGACTCTTGAGTCGGTGGCTGAGTTTTTATGTTGTCTTATTTCCTATTGGCCGTTACAGTATTTAGGTATTCCTCTAGGAGCCGACCCTAAGGAGAGCACATTTTGGGCCCCAATTTTAGAAAAGTTTGAGAAAAGGTTAGCCTCGTGGAAAAGGAACTATATTTCTTAAGGCGGTAGTGTTTCTTTACTGAGAGCTTCTTTAGCAAATCTGCTTATTTATTATTTCTCTGTGTTTAGGATTCTTGTCAGGGAAGCCGAGAAATTAGAGAAATTAATGAGAAATTTTCTTTGGGAGCCAGGGGAGGAAAAAAAGGATCACTTAATAAATTGGGGAATAGTGTGTAGGAGAAAAGAGGAAGGTGGATTGGGACTGGGGAATTTAGTTTTGAAGAATAAAGCACTCTTGGGAAAATGGTTGTGGAGATGGCCCTTAGAACAGGAGAGACTTTGGCATGAGGTGATAGATAGTATACATGGCAGTTTGGGAAATGGATGGGGTGCTGGTGTATCGTGTTGAGCCACTCTAGCAACTCCTTGGAAAGCAATTCAGAGTATTCTTCCTCTTTTCTTCAACTGTATCAAGTATGATGTCAATTCTGGTACTTCTGTTTTATTTTGGGAAGACATCTGGGTGGGCAATTCTGCCCTTAAGGACAGTTTCCCTTCTCTCTATTCCATTTCTTGCTACAAGGGTAAAACAATCTCTCACTTTCTTCCAACATCTGATTTGCCATATTCTCTGAGTTGGGACTTTGGGTTTCGTAGGGGTTTGAGGGATCATGAACTCTCATGTGTTTCAGACCTGTTGTCTCTACTTGAAAGTGTTTTTCTGGACCTTTCCAGTTCTGATGTGAGACTTTGGTCTCCAAACCCAAAAGGTTACTTCACATGTGCTTCCTTTTTTAAGTCCCTTTGCTCTCCCTCGGGACAAGTGGGTTTCCCAGCTAAGGAGATTTGGTCTAAACCTGTACCTTCTAAAATTATTATGTTCTGCTGGGAGGTGTTCTATAGGAAAATCAACACTTCAGACTTGTTGCAGAAGAGAAGGCCTTCTATGTGTTTGTCTCCTAATTGGTGTGTACTTTGCAGGGCTAATGGTGAGGATTGCTCTCACTTACTTTTAACCTGTCCTTTTTCTGTTGCTATTTGGGGTTGGATCTATGCTTTGTTTGGTTGCAGATGGAATTTGACCACAACCATAGATCAGACCTTTGATCCTTCCTTCTTTGTGTGGCCCACAAAAACTGGTAAAACAATGTGAAGGAGCATTAAAATTGTTGCTTTGTGGACAATTTGGGAAGAAAGGAATGCGAGGATTTTCCAAGAGAAGGAGAGAAATGTTCAGAATGTAAAGGATTGCATTACGACCAGGGAAATCCATTGGCCGAGATCATTAGATTCCTTCAAATTATATTCCTTTGATGAATGTTAATTTTCATCAAGGAACATGAATGTTAATTTTCAGTGGGTGGGTAGAACAGCTAACACCATAACGGATGGGTTAGCTAAACAAGGGGTATCAAGGGAACGCTTATTCTGGGCAGCTTTGTAAATTTTTTGTTACTAGTCTGAGGTAGTACATTATTGTTGTTGTGGAGAGGCACCAGCTCGTGCCCCTCCTTTGGGTAGGCTGTATTGTAATATCTTATTGAATTTCTTGAATAAAATTTCAATCATTTATCAATAAAAAAGAAATATAAACTTAAATTTTAAAATAAATGTTTTAAAAAACTTATTATCTAAAATAGAATACATAAACATAACATGTAAAGTGCATTCAAATGAAAATTTAAAAATAAAATCAAGCATATAAATCATTTTTTTTGATAATTGACATATAAAGCATTTTCAAGCATGTAAAACACATAATCTCTTCCCCCCCAATTGCATTACTTAAAGTAGATAATGTGATGTAAAACATATTGCATTCCTGATTCTATGAGCTGCCTTTGTACCATGCCTCTTGAGGCAAGCCCAAACAAGTCCATTTTAGGGTCTTAAATTCTTAATTCTCACATAAAAATAATGATTTTATAACTTTAATTGCCTTTTAAGAAGATATTTTATTAGAAAAAAATGAATAAACAGCATTAGCAAATAGGGGTTCTTGGAGGCCCAGCCACTAGTTACAAAAAAAGCAAAAAAGCGTGAAATTTTAAAAAGGCGCATGCCTGGGCTGAGGCGCATGCTTAGGCGCACTAGGTGCATGCTTAGGTGCACCAGGCGTGTGCCTAGGACCTAGCAAGGCGTATACCCTAAAACACGCCTCACCTGTGTGCTGAGGCATCCCTTTTAATTCACTGACCTGTGTTGGACACATGGATATTGATAGCAAGATGACACTTGAGGAAACTATTCTCTTTATTGAATCTGTCATATTTGAATATGGCTGATGAACCTTGAACTTCTAGGAGAAAACTTGGGCATGGATCTCTAATTTATTATATTCAATAATTTAGTACAATAACAAAATAGAGATTTCATTAATAAAAAGTTCTTACTACCCAAAAACAGAATGGAGACAAACAAAGAAGACAAGACAGACCTTGACTAACACCAAAATTCAGAAAACAGAAAAGGATTACACATGTAACCCAGGCCAAGGACATCTCCACTGAAGACTTTCCTTTGACAACCCATCCCTTGCTAAGGCATCAACCAAAAGATTTGCAGTCCTAGGCGTCCACTTGAATGAGCTAATCAAGGAACTGCCAAAGGTTTGCACCTGTCTAACCAACGATCTATGGATCCAAGGGATGTTCTCTTCAGCTCTCACTGAAGAAGTGAACAGACTAGGGAAATTGAAAGGCTAACAAGGGAACTAGTGTTACTTTTAAATGGGTGAGAAGAACTGCAAATGGCATGGCAGATACTTTAGCCAAACAGGGGGCAAACAGGCAGCACTTATACTGTTTCTCAAGCTCATCAACTTCCTTGGAATCCTTCCTCTTTGATTTACATTCCCTAGCACCCTCTTTAGTACCCTCGCTCCTGTCCTCGCCCTCCTTGTTGGAGGCTACCAGCCCAGACAAAGAAAGAACAAGACCAGAACTTATCTGTAAATTCAGCTACATGATTATCTCGAGAGTTTTCTCACTAGGCGGAACTGCGGAAGGCTTCCCCCGTTCTCCTTCACAACTTCACCTTTTGCCTGAAACCCTATCTCATGCTCCCAATTTAGGGTTTCTCTTCCACTTGAAGCAATCCCATCTTCATTGTTACTGTGCAACAGTTGGGCTCCAAAAGGCCCCCCTACCTTGAATCGTTGTCCCATAGCTTCTTGGCCTTTGTAATACCTTGGGATGCCACTAGGAGACAATTCGAAATAAAGTAGGTATTGGATCCCAGTTGTGGAAAAGTGCTCTAGGAATTGGCTGCTTGGAAGAAAAATTATATCGTTTCCAGTCTACTATCTTTAGGTGTTCAGATTGCCATGGAGGGAAGTGATGAAGCTAAAAGAATTGATGAGAGATTTTTTGTGGGAGCCAGTAGGGCTGCAAGTCGGGCCGGGTTAGGTTGGGTTGAGGCCAACCCTAGCCCAACCCTAAGTTCTAAACCCCCAACCCTAACCCTAACCCAACCCGACCAACCCAACCCTAACCCTAACCCTAACTAAATTCGTTCGACCCTAACCCTAACCCAACCCAACCCAACCCAAAGTCAACTTCGGGTTGGGCTGGGCTCTGGTTGGGCCCAACCTAACCTTCTTCCCATCCCTTAAAATCTTGTAGAACTTCTTAATCTTGGATCTTAACTCAACTTTCATTATGATGACTTATAATAGATCTTTTATGGGCAGCAAGCTATGGGTGGTAAACAACAAAGAGGAGATAAAAAAATGATTATCTTAAATTCTGATAAAAAAAGTGATTATCTTAAATGAACTAAATGATAGTCTGTGGTAGTGGCTATACAACTATCATGCATCTAAACAAATCAATGTATGATCATATATATAACATATATTTATATATGATATGTACTATAGAGTTGGGTTCGGGTTGCCCAAGGAGTCAACCCTAACCCAACCCGAAGTAAAGTCGAGTTCATAAATTTCAACCCTAACTCTAACCCGAGCATCAACCTGGATCAACCCAACCCGACTTTTTAGGGTTGGGTTCGGGCTAACCCGGCCCAAGTTGCAGCCTTAGATCCAAAGGAAGGTAGGAAGGATCACTTGATCAATTGGGACATAGTGTGCTAAAGTAAAGATCAAAGGGGTCTAGGCATAGGAAACATAGGCAAGAAAATTCCTCCTTACTAGGTAAGTGGCTTTGGATGTGGACTCAGGAGAGGGGAGATTGTGGCAAGAGGCGATTGGTAGTATCCATGGTTCAGCAGACAATGGTTGGGATGCTGGTGTATCTTCGATGCTACATTGGTATCTCCTTGGAAGTCTATCTGTGGAGTGCTTCCTCAGTTTCTATGACAAATTAGGTATGATGTTTGCTCTGGAGGTAAGGTTCTTTTTTGGGAGGACCTTTGGCTTGGCGATTCAACCCTTAAAGATTTGTTCCCCTTGTTGTTCTCTTTCTTTGTTCAAAAAATAACCTGTCTCATTTTGTTTTCCTCTCCGAGTTGATCGGGTTAAGCTGGAATTTGGGTTTAAGAAGAAATTTAAGGGACTTTGTCTTTGAAAGGGCAACCTCGTTGATACAAATTCTTGATTCTGTTTTCCTGGATTTGTCTAAGTCCGATGGTCGGATCTGGATTCCACACCCCAAAGGGATCTTCTCTAGTGCCTCCTTTATGACGTTCTTGTGTTCAGATCCAAACTCTCCTCATTGCCCTGCTAATGAAATTTGGCCTAAGCCTATTCCTTCCAAGGTTGGGGCTTTGTGTTGGAAAGTTTTGCATGGAGAATAAACACATTGGATGTCTTGCAAAACAGAATACCTTTTCTGTGTGTCCCCTAACTGGTGTACCCTGTGTAAAGCAAGTGGAGAAAACTGTTACCATCTTCTGATATCCTGCTTCTTTGTGGCTAGTCTTTGGGAAAAGATTTTTGAACTTGTTGGTCACAGGTGGAGTTTACCTATTCAGATCGGAGATCTCTTTGACCCGACGACTTTCAGTTGGCCAAAGAGAAGAGGTAAGATTTTGTGGAGATGTCTAAGGGCTGCATTGATTTGGACGGTGTGGGAGGAAAGGAATGGTAGTGTTCAATGATAAAGAAAGAAATAAGGAAGCAGTGATGGAATGCATTTTATATATAGCTATAATGTGGGCCAAGTCTCTAAATTTATTTTCTGAGTTCTCTTTTGATGATTTGTGGAGGAATTTGGAAGCGGTATCTAGAAGCTCCTCTAAGAGAGTCAAACCTGTTGTGGTTTGGAAACCACCAGACGAAGGCTTCATCAAACGGAACTTCGATGGAAGCAGTCTAGGCCCTCTAGGGAACCTAGGTCCGGTTGGTATAGGGGGAGCTTTTAGAAACTCTAAAGGTCATATTGTTGCTGTTTTTTCAGGTCCAGTTGGTGTAGGGGATTCAGCCTTTGCGGAGTTCCAAGCTGTCTTACAAGGAATACAGATTGCTTAGAGAATTAAATTATGACAGGTTGGTAGTGGAAGGTGACTCTAAACTGGTAATAGGTTGGTTGAACGTACCTGAAATGGTAATTTGGAAATATAAAGAGTATATGAAAAGATTTAAGTGGCTGGTCAGAGATACGATAATCTCAGTCCAATGGGAAAGGTGTTCAGCTAATGGGATGGCTGATTTTTTTGCAAAATGTTGGGTGCATGGATCTGATATATTTTGGGCTCAGTTATTATCTTGTTTCCAGATGGGGCTGCATCTTGCGCCTCTCCTGGATGTACTTTGTAACCTTGTGATATTTCTTCTAGTCTAATAAAATTTCTATCATTCATAAAAAAAAATTCTACAATGGGGAGGTCTGATGTATAACCCCAAACCTCTCAAAGTATGAAACAAAATCATTCTCAAAATATTCCTTAGCTTTATTTGATATCTTGATGTGGGTATCAAAATGGGTAAGCACAAATTCATGAAACTGCTTTACAAGTTTGGGTACTTCAACACGGGAACACATAAGGTAAAGCCATGAATAAGTAGATAACAATTTTTATAACCACCCATGCATGGTAAATGGTATGCCCCCCACACCAAAGTGAACAATATGAAAAGGAATTGTAGATATTTTATTATTTGCATAATAAGAACTACAATGCTTTGACAACTCGCATGACTCACAATGTAAACTTGACACTTTAGTTTCCTTGAACAAAGCTAGAAACGATAGACTCAATGAAGAAAAAGAAATATGACCCAAATGATAATGACATAACATAATATGATTGATCGACTCCGACACATTTGAATCAAAAGCTGCTCTCAGAGGTGATACTTGATCCTGGCCTGGCATGCATGTATATTCCATTTGCTTCATGACTCCCAATCATCTTCTGAGATTTCGTGTTCTCAAAAGATACAATAAGAAGGCCATCAGGTATAGGGGGGAATCCAGGCTCGTCAGGTATAGGGGGAGTTTTCAGGGATGAAGAAGGCCGAATTATTGTCATGTATTCTGGTTCTATTGGATGGGGGGATTCTCTTAGAGCTGAAATATTGTCTGTTCTGGAAGGGGTAAAAAGAGCCCAAGAGTTGAATATTAGAAAACTGATGGTGGAAGGTGATTCTAAGCTGGCTATAAATTGGCTGCAGAAGGACAATTTTAGTTTGTGGAAATTTCTGAATGAGAAAAAGAAAGTTTAGACAGTTCACTCAAAACATGGAAGTCAAGTTTCAATGGACTAAGAGGAGTGCCAACTCCTTGGCAGATTCATTGGCCAAACAAGGGGTGGGAAGAGTCAACTTTTTCTTGTCAATATTGTAAACTGAAATGTACTTATTGGGAGGGTTAAGAGTTTTTACCCCTCTTGTTTTTTTTTTTCTCTTAACATCTATTAATAAAAGTTTCTGTTATCTATCAAAAAAATGGTCACACTGCAGTTCAAGGCTTTTGTCAAATTACTAACTGAAAGCAATTTAGTATTTAGTTTAGGAACATGAGCCAAAAGCTTTTCTGCATGTTTAGTGTTATCTGTACTTAATTGGTTATGTCCTTTCTTAATTCTTTGTATATATATATTTTTTTACTTTGTTTTAGTTGTCTACAGGATGCCAGTTCATTGGCTTGTGCCCGCAGAGGTTGGGTAAATGTTGACGTAGATAAGATTGTATGCGAGTCTTGTGGTGCAAACCTGAGTTTTGTTTTATTAGCATCTTGGACACCCACTGAAGGTGATTTCTGTTCTCTTTAAGTGTGCTAGTGGTAGTTATGCCTTTTCCTTTAGACTTAATCTATGATATCTTTTTTCTCAATAGTATTTACTGCATTGTCCGCTAAATGATATATGTTGAGATAGGCTTTTCTAGAGAATGCTGTTTTCCTCAACACTTGAAAAATATTATATGGACATCATATATTACTGAACCATGGTTTTTACCTGTTGATTGAAGAATATTATTGCTAAAATGAAAATGAAGATATAAAACCAATGAAATTGACCAGCAATGTGGCTAGTTTAAAAATGGTTCGAGTGAGTGGTTAGAAACTGGAACAGCTTGTTCACAWGGTCATGTAGATTCTGAGGTAGGCTAATTCTTTTGCCGATAGCTTGGTCAGAGCAGGTGTTTCCAGACGAGGGTGTTTATGGAGAACGCCAGGACCTGGGTATTTTTCATAATTTTTTAGTTTTTTGATGCTTTTGTATGTATGCTAGCTTTATGCTGTTCTGTAATGTTCCTACTGTCTAGACCGGACATGTTGGTGTTCTTTTAAGTTTCTAATATAAATTCATTTGTTAATTCATAAGAAAATGATGGGTTGAAAACACCAAAGTTGACAAGGAATGTTAAGCAAGAATTCTAGCAGATCCTAAGTTGGCAAAGGAGATTCCTAGTATGGAATATCTCTCCCCACGGTCTCTTTGCGGCACTGCAAAAATATCAGCTGTCATATGCTGAAACAAGGTTTAATATTTGAATATGTATCAGTGGCCTCCCGATACACCCCTACAGTGGGTGTTTCGGGGTCTGACCTGGTTCAGGGGGTAGATGGGGCTTTAAGCTGACCCCTCAGAACCAGTTTGTAAAAAAGAAAAATCAATGCGAGCCTCGATACACATTGATACGCCCCAACTGGCATATAAGCCTGTATTGATATTTTGAACCTTGTGCTGAAATATAATGGAATGAGGAGTTCAACATAGAATCCAAGATTTCCCCTCTTTAATGAAGTAAACTAATTTTCATATGGGGTCCTAGTAACATTTTTCTCAGATCTTTCATGATCTTGTTTTGGATTATATCTGTTTAAAGTGTTTTTGCAATTGCATGTTGCATTGGGGCTGTACAAAATCTTGTCTACAGAATACTTAATTTCCTTTCCAAAAAAGCACCTGCAAGCAGTGATCGTTATACATGTTATGCTGTAACTTTTTACTTAGGTCCCATTCGTTTATGGTAAGTCATTTACCTGCATAAGTGCACTAGCCCCTGTTCTTTTAATCATAACATTTACCCAGGTAAGTTGTGCAATTGACCATCTTTACCCATTGATTTGATTATTGGAAGGGGCAATTTTGTCTGATAATGTTTTGGCAATTTGTCCCCGCCCCCAAGTGGGAAAGTCACTTACCCACCTGGGAGATAACCCATGGGAAAATTAATTTACTGTTGGTCAACTTTCCCATTGAGGCGTTGGCCTCTATTTACTGAAAAATGAATGGGCCTAAGTGAAACATAATCTGCAACTGAAGAAATATTCAATCATTCAATATGGGGTTTGGATAAAGTCATCAAACTGTAACAGAGATGGTTTAAAAAAAACAAAGAAAACTGTAACAGGGAAATACAGAATTGAGAGCATATCCTCCAGAGTTTTGTAGATATGATTCATCAAGTTGACATTTTCTTTTTCCTGATAGTAGTCAAGAAATATTTTAATAGGGAAATGAGGTTAAAATTAAAGGTAAACCTTTTTGAAAATTTAAGTAGGGTGGATCTTGCAAAATTTGGAGTGGCAAGGTTAGGGGACATTGTGAGAATTGAGCTTTTATCATTTGATATTGGCAATCTGTCTATAAGTCAGCATGGTTGGTCTTTTGGTGTATGCTGTATTTCAGAAATATCCGTGAAGCAGTTATATTTGTTCTGGACCTGTTGGTGCTGATTGTTATTGGATCTCAATTGCTTTCACTTCTTTATGGGTTATGATTTATGTATTCTTGGTCATTGGATGGTGAAAGTAGATTCCCGAGTAGTAATTGGATGAACGAGACTTATTTTTTCTGGGGAGGGGCATGGCTCCTATTATGTCATCGTAGAGAGGTTTGATCCTTGGCTGCTAGAGTGGACATTCCATTCATTGGAGTCCAAGGTTAAGATTCTTTGGCAGATTGGCATTGAGTGGAATGAATGGATCAGAGATGTAGTGGAATCATACTTTTGAAGGTGCCAAGCTGAGGCTAATTGTACTTAGTTTTTGAGAGTCCAGGATAGTCTCTTTTCTGTAATACTTGGTTTCTAGTTGGGGTCTAAACTGCGGAAATTAGAAATGCCAAAATGGGTATAACACTTGATATTATTTGAAATGCCCAGAAAATATCATGTTTGTGAAATAGAAACATGGATGCACTCCTTTGAATGTGGAAAATATACCAGATTAGTCGATTTGACTTATATTATAATTGTCAGTTTGTCCAGAACTGTTTTTCTAAGTTGAAAGAAGAATGGATTTTGATTGAACCACCTAACCTAGTTTCGTTTGTTTGTTGTGGATGTCTCATTTCAAGATTCATCAATAGAATCCTATTTATTGCTTAGATTGTTTTTTTTTGATATGGTATAGACATATAATGTTCTTTTCTTGTACAAATAAGACCCTCTCTTGCTTTCACGTCACCTCGTAATCTCTATAAACAAAAGTAATTCAAATCAAATAAGCTGAAAATGAAATCCAAAACAAAGAATTCAAAATAGAATTCTATATCTAATTCCTATTAGTAGTTCGATAGATTTTCTACTCATTTCCAGGCACATTGACATTTCATTTCATTTTCTCCTTGCTTGGAGCAGTAATTTTGATACTACCTGCATCAGCTTGCTTAATGCTAACATTGGTCGGTTCTCATTTATCTTGGTTGAAGTTGATACTGCTGGTGAGGCGTTTGCCAAGCAGCTTGATACTGGGCACAAAGTAACTTGTCCTTGGAGAGGAAATAGCTGTGCTGAAAGCTTGGTGCAGTTCCCTCCTACTCCCCCATCAGCGCTAATTGGTGGTTACAAAGATCGTTGTGATGGACTTCTGCAATTTCTATCTCTTCCTGTTGTAGCTGCTTCTGCAATTGAACAGATGCGGATTTCTCGTGGGCCACAACTTGACCGCTTATTATCCCAGTCACAAGCCTTTACATCTGGGGATTTAAATTTTAAATCAGAGAGCATCGCAGGTCCAGAATCTTCCCGAGAAGAGGCATTATGTGTATATTCTCATGTAAGATAATTGGTAAATTTTGTTTATGCTAATAACATGCTAAATAATTATTGTTGTACTGTTCAGGTGTGTGTCCATGTGACCTAGTTGTGCTACTCATGTCTTTTCCCTTTCTTTCGCAGGCCCAGAAGCTAATAAGCTTGTGTGGATGGGAGCCACGATGGCTTCCAAATGTTCAAGACTGTGAAGAACATTCTGCTCAATCTGCTAGAAATGGCTGTTCTTTTGGCCCTACTCAAGATCGATTTCATCCTTCCAAGGATCCTGGGCCTAGCAAGAAAGCATTCTCTGCTTCAGCCAAAGCTGGAAAGAAAAGATTATCGGTTCAGGAAAACAAATGTGAATCTAGGTCACCTTTGTTAGATTGTAGCTTATGTGGTGCCACTGTTAGAATCTGGGACTTTGTTTCTGTGTCTCGCCCTGCTCGTTTTGCTCCGAACAGCATGGGTATCCCTGAAACGAGCAAAAAAATGGCATTGACACGTGGAGTTAGTGCAGCCAGTGGAATCAGTGGCTGGGTTGCTGCTGATGGTGCAGAGAAAGAACAGATTGAAGGCCGTGATGATGCAGCAACAACAGATGAAGGAAAATCACTCTCAAATGCAGGTGTAGATTTAAATCTTACAATGGGTGGTGGGTTACCATCATCTCAGTTGGGCATGGCATTGATATCTGAGCAGTTTCAAGATGCAGACATGGGAAGGGATCTAATGATTGGACAACCTGCAGGCAGTGAAGTTGGTGATCGTGCAGCTTCATATGAATCACGGGGCCCCAGTACAAGAAAGCGAAGCTTGGAAGAAGGTGGTAGTACAGTTGACAGGCCTCATTTAAGGATGCAACAGGCTGATAGTGTAGAAGGAACTGTCATTGATCGTGATGGTGATGAAGTAAATGATGGAAGAGAATATTCAGCTGGGCCTTCAAAGCGTGCTCGTGACTCAGATGTCTTTGACACATATCATTCATCATATAGGAGGGATTTATCTGGTGCTGGTCCTAGCCATTCCTTGGGTTTTGAAATGGAAACAGATGGTAATAGAATTGATCCATTTCGACGGGAAAATGAACAGGTTATTGGTTTTGCATCCACCAGAGATTCAGCACGTGCATCCTCTGTTATAGCAATGGACACAATTTGTCACAGTGCAGATGAAGATTCTATGGAGAGTGTTGAAAATCATCCTGGAGATGTTGATGATGTCCATTTTCCATCACCGGCTATATATAAGAATCCTGACATGAATGAAACATCAGAATTGAACTATAGTAATCAAGCACAGCAGAGCACTTGTTTCCAACCAGCTGCTGGGAGAGTTGCTGGAGAAATGGGTCTCAGTAGCACTAATGATGGCGAGGAAATTCTGAATGCAGAAACTGTGACTGCCCATGCTAGAGATGGATTTAGCTTTGGGATTAGTGGTGGAAGTGTTGGTATGGGTGCTAGTCATGAAGCTGAAATCCATGGGACTGATGTGTCTGTTTATAGGGCAGATAGTGTTGTTGGTGATGTTGAACCTATAGCTGAAGTCACTGAAAATCAGGGTCAAACAGGTGAATCTGCTCCAGATCCTGGTCTGATGGATGAGTTTGTTCCAGAGGAAATGGATAGGGAAGATCCTCATGGTGATAGTCAAGATATGATTTCTCGATCTGTAGGAAGGGCAGATAGTGGCTCAAAAATTGATGGGTCAGTCAAGGCGGAATCTGTCGAAAGTGGTGAGAAAATAAGTCAAAGTCACATATTAGCCCATGAGAGCAGTGTCCATCCTTCTCTTTCCTGTAATGCTGTCATGTATTCTGGTTATGATGTATCCAAGGATGAAGTGACCCAGGCTGGCAAGGCATCACTTGCAGATGATTGTGCTTTCCTTCAGTCAGATTGCATTGCTGCCAATGGAATTGGTAAGTTAAATAATGTTTGCTTCAATATATATATATATATATATATATATGATTTTCTAATAGGTTAAGGATACCTACAGTAGACAGTTTTGCATTATTCATCTGCTTCAGTAGGTGCTCTATTCAATATAATTGACGTGGATGACCCATATGGTTATTATATTAAAGAACCTAAAAGGTTAAAATGAATATATAATATAAATTATAATGCTTGAAGGTAATTATGTTACTTCTTAGGGATCTGTAGAATCATTTGAAACATTCTTTCGAAATCAGTGTGATATCCATGTCATTCACCAACTTTCTTTTGCCATCATTTATTTGTAAGCTTTGTTTACCCATCCCAAATGAAGCTGTATATGCATTTTGAGGCAAGGAATTACCACTTAAAAACATAAGCCCCTTACTAATTCAGACAATATGCTGTAAGCTGGTGATAGTGCAAGAAGTTAGAAAGAGGTCCAACAAGAAATGTATCCTTTTGTGCCCCATATTGGATCAGCCTCAAGGTCCTGAATTTTATAAATTCTTGTTTGTAAGTATTGTCCTTTTCCCTCTTCTAGGGAAAGTGGGAAGTGAACAGCCGGAATCAAGAGACTGAACAACTGGCCCACTACTTCTATCCATTAACCTAACATGTACCCTATCCCACCACCCATGACCCTAAGAGGTTTCCTTTGTAAGTGTCTCCCTTGGTAGACTATCCACCGAGGCATTATTTGTTACTGGTATCCACCTGACCGAGTAATTACATGCCAAGGGTTTTGCTTCCCTTTGTTGGCATGTCTAAGTAACCAGTGGCCTTCCTATTTAGATAGACCAGTAAATAACAATTTGTGAAGGAGTTAAATAACAGCTTGAGTTTTGAGATTCCCTTTGCACCAAAAATCTGTCCAAGCCCAATGCACGCCTCTCCTTCAACCTTGTGCTAACACTGATATTCCTGCTCCAGTAGAGTTCTATGAGGTCATGACCAATTGGGTGAGAGAAGACCATGGTGACATCACCATTTTCATCTCTATTTTCTGTCTGAATACCTCAGACTACCTGAACAGTAGACACCAAATCTAACTCTTCTGCCATGCTACTAGTAACCAATGGCTACCTGAAACTGAAGTTGATCTCCATTGGGTGAACCTAAACCTTGCCCAAAACCAGTGAAATCTGGAACTGAGGCTGGATTGATTGTATTTCTTTCTCTCCCCTCTCTGTTTATTTTGGTATTGAGAATTGTAGATTTTGTGATTGGATTTCCCGGATCCAATCACATGAGGTTCAAGGGGATTTAATTGTTTTTTTTTTTGGGAGAGCAAAATCTCCTCTTATTCTCTTTCTCATTCATGTTACCAACCTTTTTTTATAGGTATTCTTGTTACCAACTTTGTACATTCAAATTTCAAATATACTTTTCTTAAGCACTTGTTCCTTTTATTCATTAGTAATTACCCTGAACTTCTTCCTTTCTATGTATTTTTTTTTCTTGGTGACTCATTATGTACTCTGTATTCAACTGTTCAGGACCACCAAATGGGGAAAGCAACTATGAAGAGGCAATGGAATTTGATCCAATCAAACATCACAATCATTTCTGTCCTTGGGTGAATGGAAATGTTGCTGCTGCTGGGTGTAGTAGTAGTGGTTCCAGTTCTGATCCTGGTGCTATAGCTCTTTGTGGATGGCAGCTGACGTTGGATGCATTGGACTCTTTTCAATCACTAGGGAATGTTCCGATCCAAAATGTGCAATCTGAGTCTGCAGCATCCCTTTACAAGGTTTGTTGGATTACTCTCCAAGTCTATTTCTTTTATTAAAGAATGAGTCTGTATTTCCCCTAAAATTCTTTTCCTTTTTCAATTGTTAGAAGTTTGAGTTTCTTTATTTTTTTTTTTAATTTCTGCATTGTCTTTTTCCCTACTTCATTCTCTCTTAAGCGTTTGCATGTATTCGGAACAAGGTTTGGAGTGAGATATGTATCGGTTTTTGAAGTTATGATATGTGGTACAAGTTGAATGACCAGAAGTCAAATTTATTCTATCTGTATCAGTATAGGTTGATATTCTCATGGTATCAGTCGGTATTGGGTTCATATCGTCTGACATGGATTAATACTGTGAGCATATTGGCCGATACATCATGATTTTTGTTAGTATTCTCTCCACATTCTCTTCCATTGGTTTTTATATATAATCCCTATAGTTATTATCTCTCTTTCATTAGCTCCTATGTTCAAGACAAATTTTAAAGCTCAAATTTGCATATATTTAAGACAATTGTTCAAATTAACATTAATTCCTAATTCATCCTATATTCAAGCACTAAGTCCTAATTAACTCCTATATTTAAGACAATTGTTCAAATTAACATTAATTCCTATGTTTGAAGGCAACCATTCAGATTCAATTTTTCTAATTATTTTTCTCAACATCATTAGATTTCCCTAATTAACTTGTAAATTTTTTGGTATAAAAACTACCAGTAAGAAAATTTCAACCTTGGTTTTTAGGTTAAAGACAACAAATCCACCACTATTCCATGCTCCAATTACTTGTCTTACATGTATTTTGAATCATAACTTCAAATTTTCTAAGGCAACCATTCAGATTCAAATTTTCTAATTATTTTTCTCAACATCATTAGATTTCTCTAATTAACTTGTAAATTTTTTGGTATAAAAACTACCAGTAAGAAAATTTCAACCTTGGTTTTTAGGTTAGAAGACAATAAATCCACTACTATTCCATGCTCCAATTACTTGTCTTACATGTATTTTGAATCTTAACTTCAAATTTTCTCTTCTTAGTAGATGTATGCCAATAAATGTTAAAAATTGATTATTAAAATTTATATATTTATTAATATGAGCACAAATTATATTGATTTTCTAAGAAATAAGATATGCACATGCATATTTTAGCTCTTTCATCATTTTTTAATGTTTACTAATTGTGTCCCAATGGTTCACATTTCACATCAACCATTAAAGTATGTGCTTCTTATCCATACATCTTGTTCTCTACTAGTTAGATTGGAGAAAGGTCTACAAAAGAAAGGAAGTTGGGGGGCTTGGGGTTAGGGAATTTGAAGGAAAAGAACATGGTTCTTCTTGGGAAATGGCTCTAGAGGTTACTAAGGGAAATAAATAGGCTTTGCCATAAGGTGGTGGTTAGTATTGATGGGCTAATTGACAATGGGTGGGATGCTGGAGTGTTTAACAAAGCTATGTTTGCCTCCTTGGAAAACAATTCAGGGTGTTCCCTTGTTTTTAAACTTAATCAGTGTGAGCTTGTGGAAGTTAATGGCCGGCTCGAAGAAATGGAGTCGCCACCCATTTTTTAGAGGAAATGGGCCATCGTTTTGGATTCCAAGGATTGGGAGAGGGAAGGTGTTAGGCACCCCTCTCTCCAAGCTTGATGTAGCATCCCAATACAAGAGTTGTTTAGGCTCTCTTTCTTATGAAAAACAATAATGAAAAAGGGTTTCTCAGAGCTCCTGAAATCAGGCAAAAATGCTCCCAATTTCACCCAGAATTGATTTGAGGTGATGTTATCGGGTCTTAGGTACTGATTTCCTAAGAGTCTCTCTACCACTTTTTCTCAATTTGGAGGAAACTGGGAACGCAAGTTTCTCATGGTTTTGGGACTCCAAGCAACCCAAAACTAAACTAAAAGCAGAGACTACGAATTCAAACTTAGAAAAACGGTGGAATGAGAGACTTGCCTCTTGTGTGCAACCTTGAGAAGAGTTTTCTAGTATCTAGAAAATGTTCAAATGAAGCTTTGACGAGTTGTTGAGTTGGGGTAAATGTTCCAGGTTTTAAATCTTCAGTCAAGGAAGTAGGTGAAGTAGATTTGATGCTTAATCTTCAAGGACTTTGGGATGTCAAGTAAAATAGAGGTATTACAGAGGTTGGGGAAATGCTCTTTTCTCCCCCTTCCTCCTAGTTCAAGCTCGAGTTGATCCTCTATTTATAGAGAAAAGTGAGGGACATAGGTCTGAAATTCGTCCAATCATAAGGCTTGGGCTTCAAGAAGGTTTTTACAAGAGAGTAGGCAAGGATTTTTCAAAGACAATGGTGCTCAGTCAAACTTTCCTATTTGGTGAAAGATTGTCTTTGATTTGGGGGTGGTTTTCATGGGGTTTGTGCGTCCAATGGGAGCTTAGGGCGTGCTTGTCATGGTAATCTCGTATTTGGGGCTATCAGTGGCAAAAATGTAAATTTGATGAACTTTTATAAGTGGTTTTGCCTTTTCTTAGTTCTAAGTGGGGGTATCTTTGAGTTTTTGGGCTTTTTGGGTCTATTAGGCTCAATTTCATTGGTCTAGGTGTTTGAATAGGTCAAAAATGAGTTTGACATCAGCCATCACCCTTTTAAGGTTTTAGGCTGGGACAGATGAGATGGTAATTTGATCTGGCGCGTCAAAATGACGTCTTCCTAGTTTAATGGTTAAACGGGTGAATCAGGTCGTGAAATTTGATGTGCTGATATTTTTTTGTGTCTTTGAACACAGTGGTGACTCACCATTGGTGAGGTCTGGTGGTCTAATAGGGTTGAGGTAATGGAGATCTATGGCTGACAAGATCAGATCAATGAGATTTGCTGGAATAAAACCTTTGTTGGATGAAGGGTCAAACGGGGGAATTTTGGGATGAAATTTGATGGGTAAGCACTTTTGACCATCCTGTATCGGATGGAAGTGATGGATCTTTGATCAAGGGTGTAGATTGGCATATTTAGTTTGGATTAATGGTTTATCAGTTAATGATATGGTTTGAAATGGGATCTCACTTTTTTTTTTTTTTTTGATCAATAACACTTTCATTAATTCATCAGTAGAAAATTTACAAGTGGAAGACAAACACACTTATCTTCCAAGAGTCACAAAGAACTTCAAGAAAGGAAAGAAGAAAATACA